CCAGTGAGAGACCCTGTCTCAAAATCAAGGTGAGTGGTGCCTGAAGAATGATGTCCAAGGCTGACCTCTCTGATCTCAACATGCACAAACACACATGCATCTGAACACACCAATACATACATCTTCACACACATATGCATACAAAGCATTTAAGAAATAAGTAGAATCTTAGCAACTTAGTTGCACAATTTTTTCCCTAAAGTGCCAGTTACGTGGAGTTCAATTCTCATGGACCACGTCATATACATGTCTGATTAAAATGTAATAGAAAACTGGTTTTCCATTCCCAATGTGTTCATTGCTCGGTCTCTGTTAGGCTACTGCTGCAACAGTATTTTGCTGGGTACAGTAATTGATTCACTGCTCTGCAATTTCTATGAAGGACAGAGTTTTACAATGATTTACTGAGTGAATCTATTTTCTCAACAGGTACTACTCAAAAACTTTCCACATGTTAGCCATGTGTGCAGGCCATGGAGAAGCTGTGTACTTGGGAGCAGAAACTCACAATACAGCCATGCAGAGAAAGCACAGCCAGGATGAGGATGCTGCAGCTGACACAGGAAGGTTAGCTTTCATTCAGTGAGTTCTGCCTGGACCCGCGTCCAGTATCCTCCCAACGGGCCACGAAATCCTCACAACCACATTGAGAAGCTGTTGCATCTAAATTTCTCATCTTTGTCAACAAGAAAAGAAGCTTCAGGGCTACATGGTGAAGGATGGAGCCTCTATTGACAGGCTAAATCTGCCTGGATCCAAACTGTCTTTGTTTTCCACCTCAGCAAGGGGTCTAGGATTTAAGGGGCACTACACACACTGTGGAATAGTGTTATGCACTCTAGACAGAGCATCACCATTCAAATTGATACAAGGCACTTCACAGACAGTCAATACCTACGATGTGGAGAACCATCTTAGGAAGCATTCAGAGTGTAGATGAGAAGGAACAAAATCAAGGCCCAGAGAATGTAGTAGATGGGGGTACAGCATGGATTTCTGTAGAAGACATCAGAATTGATAGAGAAGAAGTAACAACATACAAGATATTGTACAGTAAGCTTTTTAAGATACAATGCATCTGAGATGATGTGAATAGAAATGACCCCCATAAGCTTGTATGTTTGAATGGCTGGTCCACATTTGGTGGAACTATGTAGGAAGGATTAGGAGGTGTGGTCTTGTTGGAGGAGGTGTGTCACTGGGGGCAGGTTTTGAGGGTCAAAAGTCTCTCAAGATTCCCAATGTGGACCCCTCCGTCTCAGCCTCTGCTTGGGGATCAAGAGTGAGCTCTTAGTTGCTGCCCCAGCTGCATGCCTAAACTGCAAGCCCAATTAAACTCTTTCTTTAATAAGTTTCCTTGGCTATGGTGTCTCTTCACAGCAATATAAAAGTAACCAACACAACGTCTTATGCTTAGATGATGCCCAGAATAGCAATGAAGATATCGTTACCTGCCAGTTCTGGGAGTACATGGCATCCCAAGACTCTACCATATCCACAGGAAGGCAAAGATACAGGCAGGGGAAGAAGCAAAGAGACACCCAAGGACCAAAGGTGAGAGCTGAGGACTGTGTCCAGCTAACTAAAGTCACCTCCCAAAGTGAAGACTGATATCTTAGACTCAGTCTGGATTTAAGAATTCAGTATATGGATAAATTTCCTGTAGTTCAGAAAAATCCAATTCTGAAATTGGAAAAGATTCACTAAATACAGGGTAAATTTCCTGAAAAACACAGTATGCTCTGTGTGAACATTTTTTTAAAAGTTGAAATCCAGGAAGCAGTAAAATCCCATCTGAGTCTATGAATCTGGTCATGCAAATAAGATAGAATACAATCCAAAACTTTAGTACGTTCTCTTGCAGCTTGTCCCAGCTTGTTTTTTATTCTGTGACACCATGAGCAAAAAGCAACTTGAGGTGGGATTTATTTCAGCTTACTGTTTACCATCTGTCGTGAAGGAAGTCAGGGCAGGAGCTCAAGGCGGGAGCCTGGAAGCAGGAACCGAGGCAGAGGCCACTGAGGAATGCTACTTGCAGGCTTACTTCCCATGGCTTGCTAAGTTTGTTTACTTATACATCCTAGAATCACCCGCCCAGGGGTGATGCCACCCACAGTGGGCTGGGGCTCTCCCACCCCTTACACCAATCATTAATCAAGAAAATGCTCCCATAGACTTGCCTACAGACCAAGCTGATTGGAAATTCCTCAGTTATAGTCCCTCTTCCTGGATGTCTCTAGCTTGTATTCATCGGACAAAACACTAGCCAGCACACAGCTCTTTCCAGCCAATCTCTGTCCCAGAGGCAACCACAGTCCTGATTTCTCTCCCCATGGATCAATTATGTCTCTTTGAGCCCCCAGGTAAATGGAATACACAGTATAGAGCTCTCTGCTTTCTTTTACTTACTGTGGCCTTAAGGATGCATCTGTAGTTATCTCCCTTTATTATAGAGAGATACTTCATTGTATGAAGAAACAGCAATCTGTCCGGCATGTCCCCTGCTGGTGAAAACTGGGATTTTTTTTCCAGTTTGGGGCTAGAATATATGACATTGCAATATACATTCACTTGCAGGATTTCTTATGGATATACCTTGATTCTATGTGCCTATGGGATGTAGCCATGAGATGCAGACAAGTATATGTTAAACTTAATTTAAAAACTCCACCAGCTTTACTAAGCGGCTGCATGGTTTCAGATCTCGCTAATGGCATGCCGGAGTTCTTGCTACTCCATGGCCTGGCCACCTTTTGATACTCTCTCTATATATATTTTTTATCTTAACATGGGCATGAAGTGGCAGCTCATTTTGGTTTTATATTTTATTTTCTCAGAGACTAAAGGTGTTGAGCGTGTGTTGATGGGCTTGATAGTCATTGTCTGTCTGCTTTTATGAACGAACCTCTGTTCAAATGGTCCTCTGAGTTTTAAAAGTTTCAGGTTCTCATCTAAAGCCAGGTAGGAAACTATGCAGGTAGGAAATTATACAGACAATACGCGTCTAAGGAGTAGTTAGGAATGGCACAAGTGTTAGAGATGGCACAATGTCACAGGCCACCATGATCCTGATGTGACCACCGGACACTGATGATGGTGGTGGGTCAGTCATAAGCTACATTCTAAATCACCTTCACACTGCTGCGTGGCTAGATGTTCCCTTGAAGGAGGTGTGTTCGTCCTACCCACACCCAATACCACATCTATGTGCATCTGTATCCTCATGCAAATACACCCCTGGCTAAGGCAGCTGCTCTGAGTACAGCAATATATTCCCCCTCATTTGAAATAGCCCAAATGCTTCATGGGCTTAGAAGGTTCTAGAAAAGATGCATGGGAATTGCTTTCTAGTCATTCAGTTTTCTTCTTACGTGTTAATTTTTAATTTCTGCGTGTACATGTATGAGTGTGTACACATGTGCTATCCTATGTACATGGAGGACATGCTGTGAGAGTCACTTCCTCCTTCCACCATGTGGGTCCTGGGGGTCAAACTCAGGTCATCAGGCTTGGTGGCTAGTGCCTTTATCTGGCGAGCCATCTCATTTAAGTTTTTCAAATTCAACAAAATGGTAACTTAATACGACATTTATACTTACTAATATGTTTAATTTCCTTTAAATTTTTGTATGAAAATACTTCATCACCAAACCCTGAGTAATCCTGCCCAGAACAGCTTTCTTGAGGTTACTAGTCATGACTTTTAATATGAGTCATCATGAATCATGGGTGGTCTTTTCTCAGAGTTATTTGACACATATATGAGTGCTGGCCACGTCACTTTCAGGAGGCCTAATATTTGGACAATGAATTCACTTCTTTGTAGCTCAAGAGATCTGAGATCAGTGTCAGTGTTTATGCCTGGTTCAAACAGGCTTAGTCCTAGAAGAGCTGTGCTGCACCGAGCCAGCATCTACATTCTCTTTGGAAACCTTTTCTGAACTCTGTCCAGGGAATTTTCAATCCCTTCACTGGCCTTGTGTTTCCCATTGTTCTCTTCATCTTTGTGTTGGAACATGTGATGTATTGTACAGGCTTTGAGTAGAAGTTTTAAATTCACGGTCACAAGTGAGCTCCTTCAGTGTCAGTTTATTTTACGATTTTTCTTCTTTATTTTGGTATGCATGCATCTCTCTCTCTCTCTCTCTCTCTCTCTCTGAGTGTGTGTGTGTGTGTGTGTGTGTGTGTGTGTGTGTGTGTGTGTGTTTCTGACTAATTAGGACATCATGGCACAAGAGAGGTCTCATGTCCTATTATGGGTTCAATCTAGCAAGACCACCACAGGCTTGTGATGGAAACTCACTTCCTAACTAGTCCCTTCTTAACTAGTCTCTTCCTAACTAGTTCTGCTTGTTAGTTAAAGGATGTGGGGCCTGTAGGAAGTGAGGACTAGTTGGAGGAAGCAGGTCTGGTCTTTGAAGGGTCTAACCTGTCCTCTGGTTCTGTCTTCCCTCTGTTCCCTGACACACCATGATGTGAGAAACTCTGCACCACCATGAACTCCACCGCACCTTCCCCACCCTGGTAGACTGGAACCCTCTGAAACTGTGAGCTCTGCTCAGCCATCCCTCCTGTTCCCCCATCAGTTGTTTCTCCCAAGACAATATGGAAGACACTGCTGCAAAGATGAAGCCTAGGCCTGGAAAATTACTCTCATTCCTCCACTTGCTTTACTAGGGGAAGAGGCAAGAGAACAGAGGTGGACAGGTGTCCTCTGCTCTGTCCTGGGCTTCTTGAATTGAACCTTTCCTACCAAGTATAAGATCCTCAGCAAATCAAAGCTCTCAGGGATGATAACCACCCTCTCTGCAAGCAAATCTCAATTCAGCCTCACTCTGCAACTCCTTCCTTACCTCCCCACCCCCATCCCCCAACACTGGTTTGTAACAAGTAAGAGGCTGTCAGGCTGTTACCTGGTTCCGGCCACTTGAGTTTGGTCAACACATTCCCTAATCGCTCCCTAGTTTATTGTACTCGGAGTCATATTCAACTCTGGCCCACACATAGTGCAGACACTGGAAGAGTATGCAGCTCATCGTACAAGCAGTATCTGTCCCTCGCCAAGGAAAAGACCTCATTGTGTAAACAGGTAATGATTCTTTATAATCCTTAGTGAGCTGGTGCTCTGGATTCAAAAGTAAAAATTAGTAATAGATCCAAGGACTCTAGGAGCATGCCCACTGTTGTGATTTTGAATGTTTGTGTTCCTGAGGGCTCATATGTTAAAAGATTTGCTCCTATCTGGTGGTCCCAGGCAAAAGGGCAAGAATGTTAGATGGGGCCCCTGGAGGACATAGGTCACAGGGCTGTGCTTCTGAATGGTGCGTCAGATCCTGGCCTTGCCTTCATTCTATTTTCCACCATGAGACAAGTAGCATTCTGCTGACATGCCCTCCCACCACGGCATTCTGCCTCACCACAGGCCTGGAAGCTGCCCAGCTGAGCTATTGGGAACTGAGACCACAAGTCCACATCAGCTTTCCTGTTTTAAGTCGACCCCTCTGAAGCGGCCCGTCACAGGGATGAAAAGCTGACCAAGACTCGCAGTGTTGCATCATCTTGCACGAATAAAACAAAGCTGGGGCAGCAGTGCCTACGACCGGCTACCTGGGCAGCTGTACACTCTGGGATGGGTGGGATGGGTACAGAGCAAGGTGAATCATTTTTATTCTTATGTGTGTGTCGTGCGGATGCACATGTATGTGTGCGCATGATCCAGGGGTAGAGGTTGGGGCATCCTCCAATGTCGAGCCTTGGGTGTCTTCCACTTTTTAGTTAATAAGACAGGTCTCTCATTGGATCGGCATGTTGCCAGGGCCTGTAATCTTCCAGGGATCTACCAGTCTCCACTATCTTGCCATCTCTGGGATTACAGGCATAGGATACCAAACTCATTTTTTCACTTGGTTTCTGGGGATCTGAACTCAAGTCTTCAGACTTGCAAAGTATGCACTTTGCCCCCTCTATCCAGGTCATTATTGGCAGACTTTCCAGAACTTTCTTCCACCATACTTCAGGTTCTTGCTAAGTAAGCTTTCTGCTGCTGATCTGATGGCCTATCTGTCCAGGGGTGTAGATCTCACTCCCCACCGTCCCTGACATCAGACCATTTCGCATGAGTACAATGTTCCTCTCTGTGGCAGGTCTCATACTTTCACTGCTCCTGACATACCTGCCCCTTGCTAAGCAGAAACCAATAATAGATGTCCTCGTGACTCTATTCAAGTCTAACGGCAGCCATCTCTGACCCTCTCCAGCAGGACATGGAGGCTTAGGATATTTTCTCATAATTATCTCCTCAAAGAGGCAAAAAGCAAATCTCAGAAACTTCACACACTTTTCTCTAATTGCTGTAGCTGAGCATCTTTGATGGAATAAAGTCGCCCTGCTTTTCATTTGGATAAGCTGTCGCCTCTGCGTTTCCATTGTGAAGCAGTGGGAAGACTTGATTACTAGCTTCAGTGTGAGATGGGTAATTTTCCTAAAAAGGCTACTTCTACCGGCATATTTTCAATCAGGGCAGCAGAGCCTGCATAGAAACGTTTGATTAATATTCCATCAAGGATTTCAACATATGGTTCTGTGTCAAAGGATTGGAGATAAATCCATGGAGGCGGGTGCAACTCTGGGCACGAAGATGACAGTCTGTGACTCTCATGTGCAGATGCATCCAGTTTGTTGTCATAAAGACAACTGGTGTGCTGAGGAACATGGGCTGCAAGAGCCTTGAGGGTAGGCGCCTGGGGTTACTTAGAAAGACACATCTATAGCCCAGAGCTTCGTGTCCTGCATGCAACAAAGCGACACAATCAGGATGAAGTAAACCAGTTCTGTGCTGGGTGAGATCCTTAGAAATTGTGGGAAGAAATCAACTCTTTTCAAGAGCTTTTTGTGGTTGTTCAAACATCACTCTCATCTAAACTTCTTAAATTATTCAATGGGGCCAACTGTTTGTTGAATACTTATTCTGCACTAGATAAATAACTGTTAACCAAAACCTGTTTCACCCTCCTCTAGAGACTAGTATATCTAATCTCAAAGGCTTTCTTTGGTATGGCCAGTCATATACCAGGCTTCAAGTCAATGGAATATGAGAGCAAGCATGTCCATTCCTGAGCTGGGTTCATGTGATCTTCCTCAGCACTTAGCACCCTTCTCTCTAGCTTTTTCCTTTCTGGTTGACCAGGATGGAGACTACCATGGTAGCCTTTGAAGCCATCTGTTGAAGATGGTGTAACCTTTTGCAGCCTGGACCCTTAAAGGGCCTTTTAGCATGCAAGCTTGCTCATGGCTATTTTGTGAGCCAGAGTAGAGCTTTAGTGAGCTAACCCAACCACATAGAATGTGAAAATACAAAACCAGAAGAGACATAACCCCTTCCTTCTGGAAGTAATCAACCCTTGAAGGAACTGAGTGACCCTTCAAGTCCACATAAACTACAATTAGACAGGGTCTTGCCACAAAGCTTGCTTTCAGTGGCTATAGTAGAGTGAATGACAAATACCAACCATCAGGCCCTTCAGAAGACTTTGGTACACATCTCTGCTTGGACCACCAGTAATGAACAGCCAAAGGCTGACTATCCTTGGAGACAAACAATACAGAGACAGAACAGCAGTCTTGAGAAGCACTGATGACCCTGATCCCTGGAGCCTGATCAGCATATACCACCAGCATTTTCAAGAAAAGGATCCTCACTCTTGGAAGCAATTTCCAATGGGAATCTAGCTGCAAAATATGAGGTGTGATGTTTGGCAGGTGAGACGTTTCTGATGGGCTCACTTATAAAACCCTGCACATTCTCATATTAAAGTATACATGCTGTTGATTATTTGTTATGTGTTTGGTTTTGTTGGATTTGTTGTTGTTTGTTTCTTGAGACAGGTTCTCATGTATTCCAGGTTGTTCTCAAACTCGTTCAAGACAAGACTGACCTTGAGCTCCTGCTGCCACTTCCCCGGTCGTGGTCCCACCATGCCTTGCTTAAGTGGTTCCCAGAGATGGAACTATAGAAGGCTCTGTGTATGGTAGGCAACCACTGTACCAACCGAGCCACGTCCGAGCTCATAGGGTACTTGTATCTGTTTCCCACTTGTGGTAGTTTGAATGTATTTGGCCTCCATAAGCTCATAGGGAGTGGCACTATTGGGAGGTGTGGCCTTGTTGGTCGAAGTGTGGTGTTGTTGCAGGAGGTTGCATGATACATGCCTTTAATCCCGACCTTGGGACTGGAGGGCACACCTTTAGTCTGGGCCATACTTTGGGTTGGAAGTGTGTCACTGTCTGGGCGGGCTTTGAAGTCCTTTTCTCAAGCATCACTCAGTGTGACAGTCAGTTGATTTCCCGTTGCCTGAAAGATGTAGCAGTCTCGGCTCCACCACCACTACCTCTGCCTGCACGCCGCCATGCTCCCCATCATGGCGACTGAACCTCTGAACTGAGTCATCACAATTAAATGTTTCCTTTATAAGGGTTGCAATGGCCATGGTGTTTCTTTACAGCAATAGAAGACAACCCTAACTAAGATGCTACTTAACCTTCAACATGGGTTTGTTTGCCAGGGAGGCCACCTGGCTCAAACCATCTAGCTCAGGGTAAGTCAGAACATAAAAACCCCTTTATACTTCATTCAATGTCCTTTCTCATGAGGCCAAGTTTTAGTTTATGCTAGAGACTAAGGCATTCTTTCTACTTAATCCCTAGTGGTTCTTAATGCCCTCTGTGGATCCAGAGACTGGCAACAGATGTACCCTCAACCCAAGACCTAGGACCTCATAATGGATGTTCTGATTCTTCCCAAATCCTCCAAAACCCAAGGCAGCACTTCGAAAATGACAAACTCCATGAAAGGCTGACGTGCTGGGGCACTAATATAGGTCTCAGACCTGAGGATGGCGGGGAGAGTCAAGAGGATACCTGTCCAAGATGGAACCTGCATCCTCCAGCTTCAGATTCTGCAGATGTCTGGGCCTGAGGCATAGCAGCCATCTCCTTCCCACCCATCACCCATGTTCACACCATTTATTCCAACCCAGCAAGTATTTACTGAATACCTCCTAAGGGGAAAGATTCGCAAACATCCTTCCTCTTTCATCTCCTCATAGGAACACATTTTAGATTGAAAAAGATGTGTTACGATCCTGTGAAGGAAAGATCGACCCTGTCCCTGCCCAGGGACTTCGGGCTGAAATGAGGATGCTTGCCTCTCACCTTGAGCCATAAATAATTGAAGATACAATCAGGGCAATTCAGCCTGCCTGTGCCCTCCTCGCTCCACCATGAGTTAGTGTGTGGCGTAGTCGCAAATATGGGGCTGTGTCAGCAGATGCCTGAGAGCATCCTGTACTGAAGCCCGCAAAGCAGGCCAGTGTTCACATGCTGAATTTGGATTAGAGGGAGGGGAAGAGATTTTTAAATGCTACTATGTTGATTAACAACTGTGTGGTGATTTTATGATACGACACCCGATGAATCAAAGCCATTAAACTTGATGTTTTAATTATTTACCGAACTGAGATATCACAGAGCCTTGGAAGCCCTGGGTGATAGGACACTTTCGCAAAAGTATCTCCTTATAGATAAGACACAAAGCTGCAGGATTTGTAGCATGGTAGAGAGCTAACAAGAAACAGACCAAAAAAGACCCAGTGAGGAGCACCGGGGTCGTCTCTGGCTCACTGATACTTTACATTCGTGTGTCTCATTTGCTTATGTGTGTGTGTGTACTTGTCAGTGTGTGGAGGTTAGAGGTCAACGTGGATGTCTTCCTCTACCACTCTCTGCCTTATTTTTAAAGACAGACTGTCCCATGAACCTGGGGGTCACCAGCTGGAATGGCTGGCTGGCAAATCCCAGGAGCCTCCCTGCCTCCCCCTCCAGAGCTGGAATTGCAGATATGCTCTGCTGAGCCCGGCTTCGTATGAGCCCAGATCCTCAGGCTTGCACGACCAGCACTCTGCTGTCTGAGCCCTCTCCCAAGCCTCAACCTCCCTTATCTTAAAAATGAATTTACTGAGAGCTGAGGATTTATCTCAGCGCCAGAGCACTTGTCTGCAGGTTGTAAAGCCCTGTATAATCCCAGGACAGGGGATAGATAGTCAGATAGGTAATAGATGAATGATATATATATATATAGATAGATATGAATGACAGATACCGGATACAGATAATTTTATTATTATTATTATTATTTTTTACAATTTTGGGCTTACAGAGAAAAGGGGGATACTAAGATAAATCCACATCTGCTTTCCCGGACTACTAATATTCTAGATTAGTATGGTATATTTGCTACACCTAATCAGTTTTCATTGGAGCAATATTATTGATTCAAACTTCTTAGGGTCTCCCCATCCAGGACACCATGTCATGCTGTGCTGTCATTGCTCCCTAGACTCCAGTCATCTGTCACAGGTTCTCAGAGCTCCTGTGTGGTTGCAGCTGTGGCACAGCCTGTCCGTGAGCTGGGCTTTGTCAGGCGTTTCTCTCATGATCAGTTATTGGTCTCTTCAGTTTTTGTGTCTGGGAAATAATCAGGCTTTTGGTGCCTAAGTGGGGGAGCTGAAGGAGCCAGGTGCTAGACCAGCAGTGGCGTTTGGGGGACACCCTGGGCACATAGTGACAAAGGACCTCTCCCTCTCTGAGGCTCTTTTCATTGTACACAGGTAAGCCATGCCTGACAGAATGCTTCACACAGCTTTGTGTGACCCACCTTGTTTATAACTGACAAACCAGCTAGGTATCTGTGGGCAATTATAAAGGGCTTTAAAACCTATTTCTGCTTATTATCGCTTGCTTTTCTTCAACCAGGTGGAAGGCCCCTTTCTCTTAAAATTTGTTTACACATTAATTCATGCAGACAATGTTGTTTCAATCTTCTGGGCTCAGTAGATGAATCCAATCCCTGTCTGAGTTATCAAATAATATGGAGGTGCAGAGACTTCAGTTTTGAAATAATCTACTCCAAATGCAAACAGAACCAGCTCTCTCTGTGTCTCTTTTCTTCCCGAAGACCTAGGGCACAGTAAGACCGACCATGTGTGACTATAACCAGCAGCACTGCGGCCGCTGGCCCTGTCTCTTGAGTGCATTTCTTCCAGGGATGAGCCATGGCAGGGAGGGTGGAGGCCTACAGAAAGTAAGGGTAGGGTGGGCATTGCCATGCAGTTACTACCAGAGCAGAGCAGCCCTTTACAGCTTTGCTTGCAAATGGACCCAGAAGCTCCCCCTGCCTTTCTACTCCTGCTGCTGCAGGGTGGGGCGACAACCCTGAAGCCTGAACTGGAGGCCCACTGAGATGCATTTGTTCCAACTCTCCACCCTACAAGCGCAGCATCAGAGAATCCACATCATCTAGCAGCTAGAATGTAACCATACCACTCTTCAGTTCCTAGTGACCATCCTAGTCACACCAGCACCCCTCCCCTCGTGCACTTCTGTAGACTCCTACCTTGCTCAGCTCAAGTCAGTCTGACTCATCAGTCCGTGTGGTCTTTCCAAATGGAAACCTGAATGGGTTACTTTGATATAAAACCAACCAATAGCTTCTAGTTGAGATGGGAATTAGATCTGTCTCCTACCATGGCCTGGGAGCTCTTGTGTGGTATAGGCCCTGGCACTATCCTTCCCTCCCCTCCCCTCATTTCCACCCTTCTTGCTGCAGTCATTTTTCTATATGCTGAGAAACTTATGCTCCCAGGACCTTTTCACCAACTGTAGCTTCTCTTTAAATCATTGCTGAGTTTTATATACATTCTGGGCTCGAGCACCACCTTCCCAATGAGTCCACTGAGTTCAATCACTCTATCAACACTTTAAAGGATTTTTTTACACATTGCAAGTATATGTTTCTCTTCCTTGCTCATCTTGTGTTTCTTCTACTAGAGGAACTAAGTGCAGAGATCTTGTTCACTTTCACAGCATCGCCAGAAGCCACAAGAGACCTCTGCACACAGTAGGACATGTGACGACCAGGAGTGAGATCTCATGTTGGGTTTTTTTTGGAGGGAAGCACATTTGGTGTCTCAGGTCCTGAGAGAAGCATTCCAAATGGCCTAATCTGCAAGGGCAGGAGAGATTCGGAGGTAGCAAGAAGGGACACCAGCAAAATAGAGAACTTACGCCAAGGAAGACCTCCAAGGGTGGGAAAGGAGGTTGCCAACTGGGAAACAGTATTTATAAGCCACATCTACCAAAATGCACTGGCACAGAACTCGCAAAAGTTAATTAAAAAGACAGATAACCTAGTAAACAAGGGCAGATGGCTTGAGGAGAATTCCCCAGGAGGAGACATGTAAAATATCCCCTGAGCACATGAGCAGAGTTTAACTCCACTGATAGCAGAAAACACAAATTCAAGTCATAACCACCCACAACCTCATTCCTACCAGAATGCTACAAGTTAGACAGACAGACAGACAGACAGACAGACAGACAGACAGCCCAGAGGTTTGGAAGGTGTGGAGCAGCTAGGATTCTTTACCTGCTCCTGATGGAAGTGGAAAGGTTGCTACTTCACTGGGGAGTCTTAAAAACATCCAGGCTGAAGAACTAGGGACTACTAAGGAATTCTGAGGTCAAGAGAAATAATCTTCCCCAGGGAAGAGCAAACCAATTTGTTACCCAGTACCAAATGGTCAGTCAGTCTGTCAAGCATCTTGCTGCATGAAAGAAGCAAGACACTAAATTATATGCTGTTTATTTTATTAATATGTGTTTACAAACAGGTAAAATTAACTTACAGAGAATACCCTACAAACACTTGCTGGCCAGGGCAAGAAGTTACATGACATTGAAGGTAAATACAAAGAATCTTGGTCAGATTGCAGAAGTGTGCTGTGTTTTGTTTTGTTTTGTTTTGTTTTGTTTGTGACATCTTGGTAGGTTGGGGGAATAGTAGCAAAACTCATTAAGTACAGCTGAGATCCATGCCTATTCAGCATTGCCCCTGAAAAAGTTGAACATTCAGGAGTGAGGTTATGTAACTGCAATACCAGCACCTTTGGAGGCTGAGGCATGAGGACCAGGAGAAGGAATGTAGGTTCCTCTTTTAGTTTGTTTTCTGCTGTTGTGATAAAACACTCATCCTAAAACAACTTGGGGGGCAGTTTATTTGTCTTACAATCTCCAGGTCCATCACTGAGAGAAGTCAGGCCAGGAACTCAAGGCAGGAATCACCTAACTGAAGCAGAAACCACAAAAGAGCTTTGCCTACTGGCTTGCTCAACTTGATTTTTAACCCTCTCAGGATTACCTGTCCAGGGTTGACACTTCCCACAGAAAACTGAATCCTCCTACACAATCACTAATCAAGAAAGTACACTGATTGCTACAGGGGTAGTTTTTCAATTGACCCCCCAAAATGACCCTCATTTGCGAAGTTGACAAAAAACAAACCAGCTCAGCTGGGTCACATAGTGACATGCTGAAACAAACAAGAACCAAAACAAGACCTAAGTTCTATCATATTCCGGAAACCTTTTCCATTAATATCCTATGAGCTTATCTGAGACACACCCCATGAACCATGGCAAGTCAGGGCTCTATCTGGGATGCAAGGGCAGAGGGATCTGCATCAAAAGGAGCCCAGCTACCACTCCCTGTAAATGCTCATCACCAGCTCCTCTCTCAGACTCCGACCAGCTTTTCTTCTTATTCTACCCCAAACATCTTCTTTTGTCCCAATTCTACTGTGTGTTGTCCATCACGTGTTTAGTTCACAGAACTCTCTGGGATACTATTGGCTCCTGGAACCCATTTTTCCAGATGACCAGGACAGAACCTCAGCTCTATGACAGCTCTCTTTTCAATCTAGTCACAGACGACACCAGAAAAAGACTGCCCTCAAAGGATTCAGTTGGCTACCCACTTCCCCAGACTCTACTTGCACGTGACTGCTGTGGGCAAGGCCTTGGGTGGAGGCTGAGACATGGGGTGAGTGCAGGTTAGACTCGAGAATTCCTTGATGGAAGGATTCACTAGTCATTTATGTTCCCTGGCATTCTCCACCAAAAACCTGTGTCCCAGGATCTCAGACTCTGCCTCCCACCTCCTGAGTGATTTCTTTAGTCATCCCTTGTTACTGGTTGAATTGGGGACCCCCATGATGTTACTAGTGTAGATTCTAATCCATTGTGACTGTGTCTTCATGAATAAGGAGTTGAGTTTAAGCAAACACACTGTGAGAACATATTCATGGTCTTTCTGTAAATTACAAAATAGGTAGAAACTCATAATCTCTTCACATTTTTTGGTGGGGGGTGCAAAATAATGAACCAGAATCCTTGGCTCCTGAATTAAACACTGAGGAGAGTTTAAATAAAGAAAGCTACGAGGCATTTGATAACGCTGCAAAGACAAATGAGCCACCCACAAAATTGATCTGTGGGGACCAACACAGGCCAATGACAGTTCAGTTAAAGGTTAACAATCACAAATCCTAATAAATTATTTAAATATAATTTAAGACAGATATAGAGCAAAGCCTTCTCAAACCATACACTATCGATGTGC